AGGAGAAACTGGCTCTGGCTAGTTGTAGCGTCGAAGAACGCCGGGCAAAGCAAACGAAGATCGAAAGAATTAATACTCAGATAGAAGGACTCGAAGAGCGCAGACGACAGATCGATACGAGGGCGTCGTCCATCTCAATGCACAGGCGGTTTCTTCGATGGATCAGCGATATGTTTTCTTGGGCATTATCATGACTTAATAGTGATTTTGCTTCATGTAATTAAATTTCCGAGTCCTTACGAGTCAATATACCAAGTAAAAAGGAGTCCAATTGATGATAATACGCTCGTGAGTGGAAGATGGTTCACTGATTTACATGCAACCTAAATAACATAAATGGACATCATCTATCAAGACCCAACTCATAGCTCGACACTCTTAGCAAAACAAGGTCTCAAGAAAAGATAGACTTTATCCAACGTAGAAATGCCACATGCATCCACAGAGAACCGCTGTTCTTCCTGATACTCTTTTTGCGCTCCTCGAGTTCCAAAATCTTCTTCTGCATCTTCTTAATCGACGCTTGTCTGGCTCGTCGATCTTTGGCGGTTTCACCGGGTCTCGCGCGTTGTTCCTTTTGAATTCTCCGCTCCAAATTTTGAATCATGGCATCAAAGTCTTTAATGAGTTCTGCGGCAGCAGACGTCTCGTCTAGTCGAAGTCTGTCGTCCACCATCTCGGTTTGTATGGCCAGCCTCTTGGATCCAGTGCCAGTGAGTGAAGTAGAGATGATGGCGTGTGAAGATTGTATTGTTTCGCTATGTCTCATGAGATTTGCGCCTCCAGCGAGAACCCTAGCAAAAAAGTCTGGATCTTGCCTTAACTCCTGCTCTCGTGCTTCTCCTATACCTAGGTTTGGCAACAGACCCCACATATTGGTGACCACTACGACCGACTTGAGGGGGTCGTCACCACAGAGGCTTTCAAACATCCGCAGATTGCGAACTGCTATTCCTCCCACTCTCGGCAACGCGATGTTATGGAGGTATAGTACTCCGTCGAGTAGCTTATTTCGTTTGTACCTGCCTTGATATTAATGTTTACAGCAACGAAAAAGATTACAAACATACGTTTTGACCATATATTCGGCAATTCCTTCCAAGATATCGTAATCCGAAACCTTTGTGTCATCAAAACCGGGTGTGTCTAGAAGGACCACATTTTTTCCCCCAACGCGAAAACAGTCGGTGGGTGCAATTTCTTGGGTGCAGCTTTTCAATCCGGTGCCCACCGTCTGATTAGAGCCACTGGCTAGGTTGATGAACTGACAATTCCGTCGCTCCTTTAGCTTAGAAGAATAACGATGAGTATTCAGCTTACAGTGGATTTACCGGACCCAGTTGGACCCATAACGCTAAGTCCATCATTAGAGTTGTTCATGATGTAGAAAGGTGGCCATACGCTATCAGGTAATGATCGCTCATCGAAAACGACTTAAGATGAGGCTAATCGAAAAATTATGGTTGGATTATTTCCCTGTTTCTCCGCTACGTCCTTGCTATTTGTATCCAAGTTATGACACACCTCAATACCACGCCGAACCCGCACCCTAGCCAATTGAGATAACCGGCGATGCCCGATAACACGCCACGGCCGCAAGGACAGTATCGACGCCTAATTCTTAACCAGCATATATCAATTCAGTTGGCTTTGAATGCATAGCATCCATGCGGCAGGCGTGCACCAATCGATGAATTTATTCTAGCTCATACTCATATCCCTAACTTTTCCAGCGTGTTATGGGTATTTGGTTGTGACTGTACGGCCCAGATTGTCGTCCTAAAGAGCGCACTGTTAGCCCGGCCCAAAGATCTTTAAAGAGCCAGGGGATCGAAATAATTTGCCCAGTGTAATGAGTTCACTTGAAAAACCAAATATTATTGTGTAAGTTGATGTTTCAGTCTAGCGGAATATCAGATTACTGACCACTTTGCTCGGAATACAGAGTCTTGGGAAATACGGGCAGCGGCAAATCATCTGTAAGCGAGAGGGACCTTGACTATCAGGTTGTATTGACGTCATTTTAGTTCATCAATGCCGCTGCTGGCTCGACACAGATGGCCGAGTCGACAGGCTTGAGGAGTCTAACCACCAAGGTCGCTGCTACTGACCCGTTCATGGTCGACAACCAGCGGGTTGTTCTACTCGATACCCCCGGTTTCGATAACACTAATGGGATGAGCTTCAGGGAGATAATGCTAGAAATACAGACTTATCTGACTCGAAAGTGTGTAGACTCGAGCTTCGAACTGTGGTGGAAAATTGACCCAGAGTCGCAGTTTTGATCAAAGTACGCTGAAAGGAATCATATTCCTTCACGCCATTGACGAGCCAAGGGTGGTGCGGTCAACAATACACAATATCAAGCAATTTCGTACCATCTGCGGAAATGATATTCGGTATGCTCTTATCGTGGTCACAACCAAGTGGGACAACCTACGCCAATTAGACATAGGCTCCTCACGAGAACGAGAGTTGCAGACGGACGGGTCATTTCTCAGTGTTTTTGCGGATGCAAAGGTGCAGTTCTTACGGCATCCTCCCTCGAACAAATCGAAGAAGGAATCCGCTGAAGAGATTATCCGTCATCTACTCGATCCCAGAAACAAACCGCGCAAGAGAGGGTGGTGGCGAGACTTGTTCTCTTTCTTTGGAAAATCTTTTTAGATATCGTAAATATGGCTTTATTTATTCTCCTGTTGCCTAATCTACAACACATTCAATCATGTCTAGACCAGAGTCAGGGCATCAAACCCCCTGCAGACCCTTGAGACTTCATTACGAATTAGGGGTACGACAGAGCTAAGCATAACCGGGATGGGCCTTTCTAGTAGACCGTGGATTTTATGGAAAGAACTGTTTTGGATCCAGTGATCTCCACCTAGAATGACCATTGGTTAAACAATTTGAGCCATAGTTGAGCCCATTGATCCACAAACCAGCGACAGCAAAGGAGAAGCCTTGCAGAGCAGGGAGGGCGTCTAAGCTCTACGACCTGCTGGTTGCACGGTCTTTGAATTCGAGCCACTTGTATTTGCGACCATTATTGCGGTATATGTGATGTTGAATTGGTCTTCCATATCCGAAGGCGACTGGAAGGGGCCAACTCAGCGATCATTGGGGATAAGATAGACCGCCTTTACTAGATATCAACTTACTAGGATATACATTATCTCTAGCCCAGCCATCACCGGATTTGTAGGCCACTGAAAATAGATGGTTGTGCCAGTTCTTATGGAGCAGCGCAAGGCTCGGCATTGGCATCCGCGTTGCCGGAAATGGTCGGGCTGAGAATGTCCAAATTGTAGTCGTTGTCCGACTTCCAGACACCAGCATAGAGTAGGTATGTGGCGCCATTATGGACAATTTGCTGGGCAGTCGAATGACGTGGGCTTCTATTCTCTATTTGCGGTGCGGGCTATGGATCTGGCAGTCAACAGGCCGATCTTGAAGCATACCAATGCGAGAGGCATGTCTGGGATGTGATAAAGAGTACCGCTGGACCGGGTTGAGGACTTGTGGTATGTTAAGCCCCAACAAGCTATTTACGGGGACATATGAACAAACGCGATGCTTGTTGGTTGCATTTGCTGATATTGTCGAGGGCAGAGCCGTGAACCAAGTTGCTGCTGCAGATGTACCGAGCTGTCTCGTGTTCTAGCGAACATTGATTCGAGTAATCTTTTCGGGGAATATCTCGACGGTGGAGCTCAAGAATATGCAAGAAGGCTCCGAGTTGGAGCTAGTGGAAGATGAGGGTATGATTTTATGAGCTGCACATGAAGATGGAGATCAACAATCAATACGATCGGTCAGTAAGTAAACATACATTAATCCACGCAACTCCTTCCCTATAGATATTCTAAATCCTCCCAAAAAGATGAACGTGAGTGTGTATGTAGAGCATGGATGTCTTGATATCGAGATTTCAGTTGTGATCAAGGGCCGCACTTGAAGGATGGGGTGTGGCTAGGAGCCATGTTGTATGTCCATTGCGGATATAATGGGCGAAACCAAGTTGCCTTCGACATCTCGAGTCGCCGCCGCCGACCCACTCCGATTCCACCACTGGCTCGAATAGTGAGACCCATTAAAAACGCTGCTTTTAACGTGTCAATAGCAGTGGTGATGAGTTCTCTGGTGGCACAGCTAAGCTATTGTGATAGCTGACCTCACTACTATACGAATTTCGATCCAGCTGCTCGACTCGACTAAAGACTCTGCTAGCAGATATTTGTTATGTGACTATGTGTTCATGGCGTTTGCATCTCCCTTGAATGTCTGGCACAAAAACCAAACTACGTCTTAGCACGTGGCTTGCACCGCCAATGTGAGCGCATGATGACCGCAACAATTCGGCTAGGTCTAAGCATGGTGGCAGTTTGAACATTGCTCTACTCTAGAGATAGGTTGCAAAAGGCGTCAGGTTACCCGATATATGATCTGACCCACCTGCGTCTCGCCCCACGATATTGACCAAGATCTCAATGGATGAAGCACTAATAGCGTAAGCGAGTTGCAACTAAGAGAAGCCGAGCGATAACTTCATTGGCGCAGTGTCATAGGTCCCTCAGGCTCCGGCAAATCTACAGTAAGTGATATGCTATTAGATTGTAACGAGCAAAGTCCAATATATCCTATCCTTAGTTCATCAATACAGTGAGCAGTTCGACAATGAAAACTGCAACTGGGAATGTACAAAAGAGTTGTACCGAGCTTGTGGAAGCCAGTCAAGCTTTTGTCGTCGGTGATCGAAGAATAATCTTACTGGACACACC